CCCCCCCCACATGTAATTCAGCCAGACAGCACAATGATGACTATTTTCAGAGCATGTGCATTACCTGGACTTCATCTCATAAAAGGGCAAGTGTGAGTGCGAAAAGAGGAAATGTCTGCTGCAGTGATGGATATGAGTGTGCACGGCTGGGCGTAATGGACCCTGTATTGACGGACAGATGGAGGAAGGAGGGTAATGACTCTATCTGCAGCCGGATAACAGATAGCAGAGAGTGGATGGAGATGTGGGGCGCTCTTTTCACTTCCTCTCTTTGTCTCTCTTTTAACGAGATCATGGATACACGAGGTGGGGAGCTGAGGAAGATTGAACAAATATCAGGTTCCTTTCAATGCTTTCAGTTCACTAAGTGGAGGTACCATCCATTTTCCAGCTTATTGATATGCAAGACTAAATATCTCAGCCATTTCGTTGTAATTTTGGCTTGTTTAATTCTAGTCAAATTTAGCTGGATTGTTAATTTTGGACAGTCACATAAATAATACAATTAAGGTATTTTTTGATATGAAATGATTCACAGACAACACTACCCAGTGGTATAAAATGTTGCATATATACTGTATAGAGGACCATGCATCGGCTTGCTTTCCTTTAGTTTTCTCTTGCCATTATAGGTGATGTTAAGTTGTGGCATGAAAGCTCACGTTCCTTAATGATTGAATAAAAGCAAAAAAAAAATCATTAATTTATTCATATAGTAGAGGTGCTGCAGAAAGATACTTTTCTGCTGCTATAGAGGCATAAGACTCACAAACTCATTTAACTTTGAGTGTGCAGAGTCAAAGACTTTTTGGCTGCAAGTCATATCTAAAAGACAAATTGCATTTAATTAGTTTATTCTCCAAAAACTACTCAACTAGGCATTGTGTGATTTGATACACTATTATTACGGTATGCCTAAGTTTAGGTTAACTAATATTTCTTGGCTAAAAGACTAATGTTTCGATGCCAAGTGTGTCTTTGTCAGAGCCGCATTAGTCTAATCCGTGTGTAACAGCGTACTTTGGACCTCAGCTCTGAAGTCTCTCCTGATCCGGACAGGCCTGACATTCATTGTGAGGTTGAGCGCTATTAACCGCCTCCTTCATTTCTTGATGTAAGATATTAAAATGTTGGTATGTTGGTGACTGTTGGTAGAAGAATTGACATGTTGCCTTTCAGCATCAATGAATTAACTTGTGTTTCTTTCTTTCTTACTTTCTGTCCTTTAAAGTTAATATATAGAAATATTTGTAGAAATAAAGCTCCTCTTACCACTAAAAATAAAATACTAGGCCACATGATGAATAAAAGACGTGAATTAGAATTGATAATTTCACATGGAATCTGGAACATTGTATATTTTTCAGGTGGTTGCCACGATTTACGCTGAAAGCTGCAGCATCTACAACTACGTCGGTGAGTAAAACAATACCTGCCTACAAAGGGATTCAATGAGTGTCTCAACTGTCTGGAAGGCATTTCAGTGCAGCCCCCATCTCCTGCTTGTCTTTGATTGGCAGGCATTAGCAGGGGAATACAGGTGTTTGTTGTTTGACAGAGGACGAGTTTACGTGTAGTAGCTCCAGGGATGAAAAATCCCCCATTAGTGACCTCCTCTGTGAACGGGAGCTGAGTCAGACATAATGAGTGCTTTCATTCCGGTGAGATGAGATGACGGTGCAGGATGACTCCTGGGCTTGGAGAAGTGGGATGAGGCCGCTTTCGCATCACCGGGCGACTAGAGAAGACACCTCGTGGGCGGATGATCGGACAAACAGATAAAAACGAGGACTGATGGAAAGATGGCGTCTGAGAGTTACTCTCTTACCTCTTTTTCGGATGTTTGCCGCCATTTCGGGGGACTTTTAAGGCAGTTTTGCCAATGTATATCTTTTTCATGGTTTGTCTGTGTTCCTTCCCTCTCATGTGTTTATAGGGGTTGACCACAGGGAGCCGTCATATGTGTTAGTTTCCCAAAGGAGACCCGCTAAGTGTGGCCTGCAGAGTTACTGAGTGCTCTACCTGCGTTGATCCTGCCAAACAAAGTAAACACACAGATTTGCAAATATTAGTAACTACAGATCAACGAGGGATCCTGTTTGAAGGACAAAGTTGATGTATATTTTGCAGTGATAGTCGTTTGATGGCAAAACTACCCACAGTTTTGTCCTCGAGAGGAATGCGCAAATAGCCTTAAACTGTACTAAATTCAGAGTAAGAGCTTTTAAAGATCTTGAAAGGTAAAAATCTGCAGGGTGTTGTAGCTGTTGGGCTGGTTTTAGTGTTTTTTTATGTGTCACACTGTGTTGTGAAAATGAAAGTATCTCAGACATCAGTGGTAAATGTCAAGCTTTGGTCTCAGTCCTTCAGACATAAAGAGCAACGGCTTCTGTCTGTTTTGCAACAAAGTTCAACAATCAAATGAGGAGAAATCTACAGAGGGAGAGGCAGGATGTATATGTTCCACAGTTTGCACCTTTGTGGAATTCATGTTGGTTAAAATGAAATATTACAATTTATTTGTATTTTTTTTCCTTATATCCATGTTTCCAACTCCATGTAGCCCATTTGAGGGAGATGGTTTGTATTAACCTCTTCTACTCCAGCTGTCTTTAGAGTCATTTTTGTCTTTAAGGGGAGATAGCAGCTCAACAAAATACGCCACATAAAAGTGGTGAACATCATCCGAAAGCTGGGAAGATTCATTTGAGATGCAACACTATGTGTCAAGTCTTTCTAGTTCATCTGAAATAAACATTGTCTTTTGTTTAAGTGCCAATTCAAATGTTTAAAGTTTAGAGTGTAGAAGGGCTGAGAGCATTATGATGGAAGTATAAGATGGCCATTCTTATGTCCCGTAAGTTGCTGCAGCAACTTTTTGGGATGATACTATTTGTTACACAGATTTGATAGAAGTTAACGGTTCAGAAAAAAAAATCAGTAAGCATTATTGATTACATTTTAACAATGTTCTGGCAACAAACAGAAACAACCCCATACCTGTCATCACATATCAATTGAAATGTTTCTTTTTTTAAACCAGAGCACAGAGACAAACATAAAAACAGAAACATCTCATGTGAAATGACCAAAACTGGTCTAAATTTAGCAAACATGATTTTGCTTTAAAGTAGTATCCCATTTCTCACTGTACGAAGCTGACAGCTGAAAATGTTTTCAGGGCCCTTAAAAGGGAAGGAAATGTATTTGTAGGTTTTATGCTGCTTTTGTGTTTTGCTGGACACAGCCCTGCTTCATATCACTGGTGCTTGATGAAAGGCCTTTGTGACAAGCAGACTTATATCAGTAAAAACAAACACCCCTCTCTTCTCTTTTTGTAGACTTCATCTCTTATACGTCCAAACAAAAGGGACATGAACTGACACATCCACCCTGTCTTGAATGAAAAGAGTTTGACAAGGCCAATGCACCGAAGCTTCTTTTCCAACTATTTCTACAGTCCCCTCACTCCCGTGTGTCTCGATGGCGTCCACAGCACAGGTGCGGCTGTCAGCCTGCAGACAAATAGTGCGGATTATTAGATGAGACGGCGCGTCAAAGCTTGATCAAAGCTGCTCTGATCCGAGCACTGTTGCTGTCCACTCGGGAAGGAAACGGTGACAGACTGGGCATGTGACTGCAGTGGGGGTACAGACGAGGAAATCCAGCATCCGTGGATACTGTACATACGCATGAGTAAAAACCTGATGACATACAGTAGAGAAACATGTTGATCCACTGACATCCAGTAGTTGGTAGGTGATTTATGCTGCTAGCTGAGGAGGCAGCCAGGGAGACGTGTACTCCTCCAGATGGTGACAGCTCAACACCGCCACTGGAGCCTTCATTCCAGCTGCTCCCCTCTGAGTCATAGCGTACCGGCTCTGGATATGTGTGTGTGTCTGTGTGTGTGTGTAAGATGTGGTGGGTGTGAGCATGTTTTTGTGCATGCATGAGGCTGTCGGTTTGTGTTCATGTAAGCGCATACCTGCAGTATGCATGCGTCTATACGTCTCCAATTATGCATCTGTATGTGTTTTCGTGTAGGTGTGTGTTTGTGTGCTGCGGCATCAGCTGAGCCAAATCCAATCCACTATTTCAAGGAGTGAAATAAACCAATACTCTCTGTCATGAAAGTCAAAAAAAAGGACAGCTGTTGCCGACATATCTCAGGCCACGTCAGGTGTCAAACCACCAGCACACAACAACTCTCCCTCCCTCGCTCATTCACTCGCTCTGGCTTTTTCTTCCTTTAGCCCGATCCTCACACTGCAGCAAAACCATAGATGGGGCTCGTTCAGATGGCGCTGCCTGCCACCCACTCGTGGCATGCTGACATTTGAGAGGAACTCAGAGCATTGAAAAGAAGAGGAAGGGGAGGTTGTAGAGGAGGAGGAGGAGGAGGACATTAAAGTTAAGGAATGGGGAAGAGGGAGAAGCAGGAAGCCTTTTGGGGGGGGGGGGGGGCAGCTAGAGTAGTCGCAATTTAGTCAAAGACAGGAAAGAGAGAGAAGCCATCACTAATTTAGAGAGGAAAAGCAAACAGAGTGAGTATGAAGTCTCCGATGGAAATCATAATTTGTCTTTCTGCTTCCTCCCCTTTCCTCCGCCAGTTCTGTTTCTTCCTTCCTGCCTTGCTGATCGCATCCACCTTGCAGATAGACTCTCAGGAAAAGCCCTTATAAGAGGCCCAGACCTCAGCATTAGAGTGGGGGGAACCCGTGCGGCTGACTCATCCAGTAGCAGCAGAGGAAGAAGGCAAAGAAGACGCTCTTTCTGCCCCGTGTCCCTTCAGAATAACAAGGTAGCTAACCTGCAGCAGTCACTCAGCACAATGACACGTACAGTATGACTCAACCGCCTAATAAAATAAAGAAAATCAACACTCAACTTAAGGCACTAAGAGCATATGTTCTGTTCTTTGGGAATGTGCGGGTTTATGTCTCTGCTGTTTCTCTGTCCAGCATTGATTAACTCTGGAGCAGACAACTAAGTAGTTACACACCAACTACCAACATCATTAGCAGCAGCAGGGGATAATGACCTGCTGAACAGATTTCATGTGCCGCTGATGGCACCCGGCAAAGGGGAGTGTGTAATCACAACAACCATCCCGAGGGGATTTTAGGATGAGCGGAAGAGGTGATGGAGGCTAGCTGAGCTCCAAATGCAAATACAAAAATATACACAGCTCTGTAGCTTTTCTGAAACCCAAAAAGTCAACACAGAGAACTCATTAAGTCCAACACCAGAGCAAGTAGTAGTTTAGACTGAAAATGGCTCTGCATTAAAAAATCTAAATGGGTTTTGCAACAGGTACCAAAAAGGAATAAGATCGTAAATTAGGTGTTTTCGGGACGGAACAACTTTTTCATAGTTTTAGGAAGATAGTTCTAAGAGCCCCCATTATTTAGGAATGATCATTGATCAATGCAGCACCAGCAACCACCATTTTCAAAAACCTGTTAGCCGTGGAAACAACAGACAAAGCAAAGCACAAACAACTGCTGGTAACGGGAAAGAAATGGAAGAAAACTAACAGTGAAATCCTAGTTAACTCGTTCATGAGAGCACACCCAATGAGCCAAAGAACATGTCAGAGCTGCTGCTCGGCGAGCTAACCCAGTAGCACGAACGCTAACCCACTGAGACAAAGACTTATTGTGATGGCTATTTTGATTTAATATGATTGTGGCATGTATGTGTGTGCGAGCCGGTCGGCTTATGTCGTAACAGCGTTCCAATTAGTGGCGCAAATGCAATCAGAAAAAAAGCCTTTGGAGGTATGAAGGTTTGGTCCAAAAACGCAAATGTGTCAGTTTTAGTACACAGGAATGAGTTTGTTTTGAAGGAATAGTTTGACATTTCTGGGAAATACACCATTCTCCTGTCTGTACAGGAAATATGAAGCTTGGCTCTGCACAAAGGTAGAAATATCTGCCTACCAGCCCCTCCAAAGCTCGCTTATTGACACATTGATTTTGAGAGAAAAGTCAAATATTTTTTCAATATTAAAAATATCCACAGATAAATTCCTAAAGAGCAAATATAAAGATTCTGAGCACTATAATTATGTTGTGGTGAAATATTTAAATTCTAAATTTCATAGTTTCAGTTGTATCGTATCGTATCACATGAAATACATACAAAATAATGTAAAATGCTGTCGCAAAAAAATTGTCTCCCAAAAGTGTTTGTCATAAAAAATTTAAGTCAAAATAAATACAAGTTGGAGTAGAGTAGAGGCAAGAAAACCCCCAAGCTATAAGGGCACTAACACACACAAGCACATGCTGTTCTACAAAAAACAGCGTCTGCCTCTACACAAGAAAATCATGTTACAGTGCCAGTAAATCCTGCTGAGAGCTGTCCTAGCGAAGCCAATGAGACCTGGTCTTCTTCCGATCCAGAGTCCACACACTCACTTTGAGACTCAAGTTTCCTCGTGATTATTGTGTGTTCCAAACCAGTGAATCTGAATTGCTTCAGCATTTCAATTTTTCCATTATGTAAATAGTAAAGAAATCACAATTCTATCCACTCTGTTTCATTCATTTCTTTGGCTTTCAAATTTGTGGTTGAACAGTCATTTTTGTAATAAAAGACGTTACTAAGATGTTGCGGCACACACACAAATAAGGCCAGCGTTTGCCATCTTTTCAGCCCCAGCAAAAAAGGAGATGGGACGAAGAAGCACAAGCAGCTTTTCAAAAGGGTTCAGCTCATTAAAAATAGAACAGACACAAACACACATGTGCACACGCACACACTTACAAGAAACACCGCCCACGATCACAACATATTGTTTACAAGTGGCGCTCGAATGGACAGGTAGTGATTAGACACAACAAAGGAACCACCTCTGCGAATATGCTAGCCTGCAGTGTACCGCTCTGTGTTCTGTGTTGCCATGTATGTCAGTCTGTATGTGTGTGTGTGTGTATGTGTGTGTGTGTGTGTGTGCGTACATGAGCATTTGTCTCTTATACATCACAACTGTATAGCGGGCGGCTCAGATGTACTTACACGTCCATCCATAACTCTTAAAAGGCGGCCTAAAAAACTTCGACTCAGGGATGCATGAATGGAGCTGTTACAACAACAAAAAAGGGAGACTATACTGGGAGAATATAGAAAGCAATAAAGTGCTAACAGCTTTCCAGCATGACGACAATAATTAAGTGGCATATAAAAAAAGACATGAAATCTGTGACCTCGAGTTTGGGATCATAACAGGCAAAAACAAGCAACAGAAAAGAAAAGGATGTGTGAACACTTTATATTTGCAGACACGAGCAACTTTTCATCTATCTCTCTGCAGGAAAGCATATATCTGTAAATGACAAACTATTCCTTTAATCAAGTGACATTTCCTTCAGAAACCTGTTCATTTGATGAACTAACATTTTTTGTTAGTAGTTTTTGTCTGGATTAAACAAACAATATATTGTGATCGACTGATTTTGTTATCTGGAAATCATAAGCAACAACACACAATGCACACCATGACTTTTTGACTCTTCACTTGTGCCACTATTACATTAGCGTATTTTTAGCTGAGTGCATTTAGCATCATTGTCTGCTGAGGCAACAATTGCTCATTAAATGAGTGTCACGTACTCTAAATTCGGGAAGGAGTGGACTTTAACACATACTGTAGATTACTATGTAAATGTTCAATTCAAGTCCAAGACTTGGCAAGCTATAGGGCAGCTGGTATATGCAGTGAAGCCATTAACATGGCCGACTGCTTCACCGTCACGAGGAATAAATCTGACCTGTACAATCTAACCGCTGGTGCTGAAGAGGGCAAAGGGGAGGAAGAATAATAGGGTCAAGATGATAAGAGACACTTAATAACCCAGATGAGCTGTCAGTGCTCCGCCACAGAAGGAGAGAGAGACCATAGACACAGAGTGGGAGAGAGAGGCGGACGGTTCAGACCACAGAGGATCGAGGAGAGCATTAGTCTGTTAGACCAGCAATGTCCACTTAAGCAGATGAAAACTCACTTCTCTTCAGACCAGCCTCTCTCCCACACCACTTTCACACATATAAATGTCTGCTATGGCTCCTCTGTATCATCACTTCATCTATAATAAAAGTGAATCAATGGATGCCTAATTCATCTGGGACGATATAGTTGCTAAAGTGTTTAAGGTTTCTGGTATTGATATTAATCAACAATTGGTTTACGTAGTTAAGCATCAGCAGTCAAGACTTCAACTGGCAGCAGCCAGATAGCTTAGCTTAGCATAATGACTGAAAACAGTAGGTAGCAGCGAGCCTGGCTCAGTTTAAAGGTAACAAATGTGCCTGCCAGCATGTCTAAAGCACACTAATTAAGGTTATTGTTTATTTGATTTTTACAAAAAACAAAATGTAAATATGGCAAGTTATTATGCACCGTTTTATTTCTCAGGGACTTCCTCAGGTCTCAGCTCATTGTCTGGACAACAAAACTCAAGGAAGTCACCGCAACGTGTTGTTTTTACATTTAGCTTTTTACATGGATTAAACAAACCAGATATAACGTGTACATTAGTGAGGGTTAGGCTAGATTTCATTCTTCTCAGACACAGCCAGCATTTTCTACATTTCCAATCGTTATGCTAAGCTAACCGTCTCCTGGCCGGTATTGATGGTCTAAACTAACTCTCAGCAAGAATAGGCAACATATCAAAAATTCCAAACAATTTATGACAATGGAAAAACTTCAATAAGTGCATGGGGAGACAACAAAGCAGATGCTTCCATACAAGACAGAAGGTCACTGAATGGTTAAATGAAAATGATGTGAATCCTGTGCTTTGGTTTCCTTCACCAAATCTCAAATCAACTGAAATGAATGTGACATGATCTAAAGCTCCAGAATAGCTACTTAATTGATCTTGACGCGAGGTTGTCAAATTCAGTGAATGTTTGCTTCCCCCCATCCAAATCTGATCTCAATGACTGTGGTGATATTCAACAATTTGAAGTGTAAAGAACCATTTGATACTGCGCTTAGTCGTTGATGTTGCTGATATTCAATAAACACTTTTTGCCCTTCTTCTCCGTATAATGAGTAGTTTAAATGATAAACTGACTTTATCATTCTCAATGTACATCTACGTTACCTGAATCTTTTCAATCAGGTTCTTAAATCCCTAATACTATGTCAAACTTTTGTTCTCTTGCCACCGAAGGATGTAATTTCATCATCACTCTTTCCGTAAGCTGCATTCATTTTTGGGCTGTCAGTCAGGGAGAGGAGCTGTCACTTTTCTTTTTTTCCCCCCAAGTGGTGTCTATCTCATTTCTAAAATAAAACACTTCAGCAGAAGATTGTTTTGTGACATTTGCTTGAATATTCTGACAACACTTTTAAAAACTCTTAACAGCTTAAAATCTGTTTATCCAACCAAAGTCTCCTCTACTCTGCTCTGGAGCTCCCTGCTGTGCTGTATCTCCATGTAAAATTTACATCTTCCACCACAGGGCCCCCGACGCAGGAGCCCGGCCAATGGAGGGACAGAAATTAAGAAGGAGAAAGAGAGAGAGAGAGAGAGAGAGAGAGAGAGAGAGAGAGAGAGAGAGAGCAAGAGAGGGATAAGATATTTCAGGACATTTCATCACTTAGAGGGGAAGGCGTCTTGGAGATGAGATGAATGGGTGGAGGTGGAGGTGGAGGTAGTTTTGGGTGGGATGTAGATGTAGGGTCAGACTCTCAGGTAGATCGAGCAACCTGTTAAAACTCATCACAGCGTCTTCAGAGGCCACAGGTGACCTTGTTTCCTAATCAGCAGAGAGCGAGGAGAAAAGACACAGGACTCTTATCGCAGCAGAGCTGCTTTAATTCAATTAAAGCTGTGACACAGTGGTGAGGACAACTGATGCCTGATATTGGAGAAACACCCTGCCAGATTAATTACCCCCTCATCGGCTGGTTAAACGGCTTTTAAACTGTAATCTGCCTGAAATAGTAATAACACCATCGGTAATCGAACACAAAAGGGAAAGCTCGGGATCTATTTCCATCTGTGCCGGATTAATAATGGTTCATTAGTAATAGTATCAATTACAACGCGTCTACTGTAGGACGGTGAGGTGAAAAGGAGAGAGATGGAGAGGAGGGAGACAAAGCAAAAAGAAGCAGATCCTTTCCGGCACGTCGTCATGTTTGCTTTGCTGCCTTAATTCCCGTGTAATGCAACTTTAATCAGAAAATTGGGTGAGCACTTGTAATTTTGTAATGAGCTCATTAAAATCTGTTTATGCAGGCATGTGAAGGCATTAGTTCAGTTATTACCTTGGCCTTGGTGAACATTTGAGACTGTCAGGTTTATTTCAAAACATAAAAAAACATTGATTAGAGCTACAATTGCTCAGTTGTTCATAGTGGTAAAGCCGCGCTGCCATGCAGAGTAATTAATCAGTGGCTATAGGTGCATTCCGACAGGTGACTGACTGAAATCATGCAGAAGCAGATGTACAACAGTCAAGGATGGACATTTCTACAACCATTACACATTCAAGACTAATTCTAAACAACACTCTTGATTGATTCCTGAGAGAAAAAAGCTTTTACAGTAACGCCACATACGGTGCAGTGAATTTTCAAGCCAAGAGATTCCCTGCATACAACCACCAGCCTTGTTCTGCAAAAAAACAACACCCTGTTATCTTTGACAAACTATCAGAAAAGCAGATAATACCAAACAGCACTGCATCAATACACAGAGAGCACGAACTGACACTGTGAGTGCAGCCACATCACATACAGATGAGCACGTATATACACACACACACACACACACACACACACATTCAAACACACTCACAGACACAACCAAGCCAGCATTGTAATCCAAATCAAAGATGCGAACAGTGAAGCAGTACCTTCCGCTCACGCAGAGCTTCATCCTGGAGACCGAGAGATAAAAGTCCTGCCGCCTGAGCCTCGCCGGGGAAACGGAGAAAACCCCCCCCTCTCTATGCTATCTGGATTGGTTTACCCAGCTCTCCCTTAAAGCTCAGAGAAACCCCACCACATGCACACCAGCCCACCACCACTGCCGCCACCACCACGCCAGTCCAACAGCAGCAGCAGCTGAGCCAGGGGGAGGGGGGAGGGGGGGGGGGGACAGAGGGAGTGAGGGAGGGAGAGAGAGACTGTGCGAGAGTGGAAAGACAGAGAAGAAGAGTGGGAGGGAAGGAGCTTAAAGGAAGACGACAGGCAGAACGCGGGGGCGTGATGGTGTAGCGCTGAAAGATATGTGAGAGAAAGAGAAAGAGATGGAGAGGCTGAAGCTTACCTGATAGTGTCTATGTTGTTCATCTCTTCGTCAGCCACCTAAAGGAAATGACAGCATGTTAGTGGAGGGGACCCATAAAACTGGCCATGGAGCTGCCAAGTAGAGCATCGCGACCAGAACCAAATCATACATATTCAGGAGGCACGCTCTCCATTTCCCCCTCTGTTTTTGTTTATTTCTTCCCCTCTCTCTCTCTCTGTCTTTCCTGCCCCCTCATTCGCTCCTCTCCCTCCACTCCATCTCTGCTCGTGAGGAAGCCCTCATCAGGCTGTCTACATCTTCGCTTACTTGAGGTGAGAAGAGAACAATCATATCGCAAGAGTGTGAGAGGAGAGTGTGAGAAAGAGTAATGGGGTAGGAAGAAAGGAGAGGAGGGGAGGGAGTGCGGAGGGAGAGCGGAAACCTCCATCGCAGCCAGACTGCAGATACATGGCAAGCCCCCCCACGAGGGATACTGGCAGCAACTCAATATCCTCGTCTAGGTGCTGAATCTGAGAAAGCGAGAGCAGAGACAGAGCGAGAGAGAGAAGAGGAGGAGGTGTGGAGAGAGATGCAGAACGTAGGGAGAGAAGTGGGGAAGGTGAGGGGGAACAGGTGGTCCAATCTGTTGAATCTTACATCTCAACTCCCAGGTTGTTAGGGAGAATACATTTTGTACAAGTCTGCTGCTGGCCCTTTTTCTGAAGGCGATGAATTATGCATCATTCCCAAGTATTCTCATCTTCATTCAGATTTAGGGTGCAGGCCTGATGGAGTGTGGCGTCCACGCTGCCGTGTTATCACGGTTCATGATTTGGGGACGTCTGGAAAATAGGTTTACCTCAGTTAGGGGAGGGAGTCGTGCATGTCAACGAAGCAACCGTTGGAAGGACATTGTTTGATCTCCAGGGTTAGTGGGAAACATAACCGAGTCAGAGTACCAACAGAAACACGCTTATAAGCCGGAGGGGGGGGACGCTTCACAAATCGAGTTTGCATCTTCAGCGAGAGCACAGCTGAAGGCCGTGTGCCTGTGAAGAATGTTTCGTTACTGCGCTCGCACGTGTACAAGGACTCGTGTGAGGAGATGAAACTTTGCAACGACACACACACACACACACACACACACTACACCGAGATGAACACCGACAGGCTCACATGCCTGCCTCTCTCAGCCCCCACGCCACCCACCTTTTTTTCAAGCAGTTGCTAAGGTGACGGCAAAGGCTGAATTTTAATCAGACAATAAATTAAGGCAAATGTGATCTTCTCCTTTATTATTAAATGGCAGCGGTGCTACTTTCGAAGATCTGTTAAGTATGTTTTGGGTTCAGAGAGAAATACTTACAGACTGACAAATTAAAACTCTTCGTGACTTGCCTAGATCGTCCAGGGGTTTGCGAAGGATAGTGATGTTTGAGCTTAATAATGAAATTGTATGCTTTTTAGTCAGTGAAATAATACATGTTGAAATAAGAGGAGGATAGCCGGATGGATCATCATCTACCACTGAAATGATTGTCATGCTGAGACTAGAAATACACTCACTTTTGATGCAGTAATTGCTAATTGAGCCTCCAGGGCTGTCTTCCTGTGACACACACACACTGTTGCTGTAAATATGGGGAAACCACCGGTTGCTATTCCTGAAGACAAACAGTTGTTGAAACAGGTTCTTTGCATCCACAGCCATTTTAGCAAGGTTATGTCTCAAGCTGAGAAAATGAAGAATGAACACATGCTGGTGAGGGGGCTGAGTCAGTAAATGACTGCATTGTTCAGTTTGGATAACGTGGAGGAGCTGCTGATTGGTAGAATGCTGATAAGCAGTTACAACTTGAGACACCCTGAAAGCCTGAAATCTTAAAAACAATATTTCTCACTTGCAATTGTCACTTAAAATGTATTTTAAATGAATAGGCTACTATGTCCAGCAGTATTCATTATTAAAATTGAATACATTTATTCACAAATATTAGTAGTGAGCGCAAGAAAGGATTTCAGACAAAGGTTTGCACAAAAAGAGCCCATCTTCCCTTTGGACAAATTTGATGCAGTAGCGTTCGTGAGCACCTGGATCAAAGCAGAACATTGTGTCTCTTGTTCTTCGATGCCAGGATGAAGAATAAAGCTGAGCCAAAGTCTGTGTGTTGGGTTAGAGAGAGAGAGAGAGAGAGAGAGAGAGAGAGAGAGAGAGAGAGAGAG